TCGTTCGTAACAAGTGCCTTACTAGTAGTAACAAGAAGCTAGTAGTATCAAGTGCATCGCTTCGTTCGTAACAAGTGCCTTACTAGTAGCAACAAGAATGCTATTAGAAACAAGTGCATCGCTTCGTTCGTAACAAGTGCCTTACTAGTAGTAACAAGAATGCTATTAGAAACAAGTGCATCGCTTCGTTCGTAACAAGTGCCTTACTAGTAGTAACAAGAATGCTATTAGAAACAAATGCATCGCTTCGTTCGTTACAAGTGCATGCTATAGGCTATAATTCTAATTAATTTCTTATTGTTACTAGTAGTAAGGCACTTGTTTCTAGTAGCCTCTTGTTACTACCAGTAAGGCACCTGTTACTACCAGAAACTTATAGTCTATAATAACATGGTACATATGTTAGAACCTGGAGTCACATGTCGCTCGGGGTGCCGAACCGAACGGTTCGGAAGGAGGTTGGTGCCCGGTGACCACATGTGCCCACGAGCCCTGGATGGGAAGGACGTTTACCACCCCGACATGTGATGGGCATCCCGACATGGAACTGGTGTATGTATCTTCTTTTTTAACCCTGTCCCGCGCTCGTAGCGTAGTATCAAGTGCTTGAGCCGCTTGGCCATCTCATCAAAAGCCGGAAGGATCTGCCGGGCATCTGCCTCCTTCAGATCAGTTCGAACCGCCGTCCAATCATTGGAAGAAATTGTTTTTCACATAGGCACAAAAAATCTCTACTACAAACTCACACCGTGTGAGACATGTATAATGTCATGCGATGTGAGGGGTCATTCGAAATTCGTTTGACTCCTATTCCGTCTGATTTCAATATCAATGGCGTGACGCGTTCCAAGTCCTCCACTCGAAACAGAACCACCTGATCACAGGGCAACGGCTGCCTACCGGCGAAGATGATGCAACTCCTGTGACTAGACCCCCTTGAAAGATTTGATGCTATTGGATGCGGCTATTGGATGCTATTGGAAGTCAGGCATATGAAGAGGTGTTGCCATCCACGTTCAAGTCTATACAGCTGGCTTAGTGTGCTCAGGAGATGTGAGACGTGCCACTCTTCTTCCCCACTGATCTGCCACGAGACATGTCGCACGGCGCAGCCCGGAAGCTTGGCGCAGGCGTACCTGGGACGGATCGGAGTGGCGCCACCGTGGAGACGCGATCCGAACCGGGCGCGCCTCCACCAAACCAAGGCCGCCAAGCTTCCCGACAGCAGATGCCTTTGAAATGCGGGAAAACGGCTAATGAAGGCGTTTAAATGCCTCTATTATTAAAAGAATGTACTAGGAGCAAGAAGCTACTAGTACTAGGGGCTCCTGGCATCGCTACTAAGAGCAAGGACGCTACTAGTAACAATAAAAGTAAAAAACGGCCTCCTTTTCGGTCAATTGAGTCCGCATTCATCAGATCTACAGCCAGTCGTCTAAGAGCCAGGCCACTGCCAGGTCAACATGTAACCCACAAGGCAAAGGCGAAGGCAAAGCACCAAAGTTGAAGATTTCGTAACCAGGGTTTGGTCATATTCTATATTTACACACATGCATCTAGATATATTGATAAATACTATGTGCATTCATGAGAATATATGCCGCGTGTGTGTGTGTGTGTGTGTGTGTGTGTGTCTGTCGCGGTCTTTCAGGATGCCTTCAATGGTTCAATTGTCTTGGCTTGAGTTTGACCACGCGCTTTCTCAGTTGACTGTTCCTGAGTTCTTCCATTCTAAGCTTTCCGCGGCTGCGGGGTGCGGTCATGTCAGCCAGGTTTTTCGGCGCCGCACTGCTCGCTGAACGAAACCACCGAAACCTCTAAGTGCCCTGCTCGCTCTTCGACCGGACCAGGAATGCAACACCTGGTGCGGTGCGAAGCAGTCAGCGCGCAAGCTGAAAGGTGTAGGGGGTGCCCCTCAGCGGAAAATGCGGTAGTTCCTCCTCTTTCCGCGTAATTACTCAGTACTCTATTTGCTTCCTGACTTTTAAGCAGGCAATCCATCAATCCCACCTAGGGCACCCCAAATGGCCTAGTTTCTTGGGTTCTGGTGAGGTCTGTTTTCACTCGAATGAGAACACAAGAACACAAGAACCCCGTTCGCTTCGGAGTTCCGCTCTACTCCAGCTCGTCTTGTCGGTGTCTGCGGGTGTCGTCGGGTCCCGGGCAGATGGAGGGATTTAAGCTCGTCCATGGCAGCCGCAAGGGCCGTTCAGCCCGCAAGCCTCCCCTGGCAGACTGGAACAGGTGGAGCAGTCGGGTGGACCGAAACAGCTGAAGAACCCTTAGTCAATGGTCTCTTCTTTTCCCATGAACCTGACAAACAAAAAAAAAGAACGTTTGTGAAATAGAACAACCTCCAAAGAAAAAAGACACTTCCCCTCCGGACGAGTGGTTCTCCCGAACTCATCACACTCACATAGTCTTTGGGACGCCGGGCGAAGCGATCACATCCGCAGGCTTCTGCAACGCGGGGTGGGTGACGTGTGGGTCCAGAAAGAGCAAACTCTCTTCGCCGTGCGTCGCCTCGATGACATCAGCGGCGGATCAGCGGCTGACGATGACGACGGGATCTCTCGAAGTGTTCCATCTCTGCTCTCTAAGCATGCCACCACAAAGAAATGGGCTGACGAGGAACTGTTGCCACTTGCCAAACCCTGAGGATCAAAGGCATCAAACCCCAAGATCCATGTGGCTCGCACAACTGGCCCTGCCTGGAATTCGGGAAGTCGAAAGCAGCTATCCAGACCTTCCAATCAGCATCTTCATACGAAGAAGAAGGGGCAGTGTGATAAAAACGAGGGGCATGGGAATCACACCCAAACCCTCCCCACATGCCCAATATACATGTTCCAGCTCCCTAAGCTCCCTAAACCACACTTCGTCCACCACCATACACGCCCCAACCAGTGTGCCTTGCTGATACTCGTCCAAATTGCAGCTTTCCAAGCCCAAGCGTCGGCAGACGAAGAGGATCACCTACCAGATGCCGGATCTGGAGAACGAATCAAGGGACCCAGAAATCACTCAGCAATCATCAGTCTAAGGAAGCAGCTGATGTGCACCCATTGTCGAAATGCTCCATCCTCAAAGGCCGTTTCTTCCGTTCCCCAACAACAAATCACTTCAGAAGCCTTTGAAACGTCCAGTGTAGACAGTGTCTGTCCCATATGTCACGCACTGAGCCCTCAGCACACTCGCCTTGTAGATGGGCCCATCCTCATGAGTCAGTCGCGGAGCACGGACCCGGAGGATCCACCGAATGGACTGAGCGTCCCGGCCACAAAGACCGCACAGCCGACGGTTTTCAGAAAGTCGGGACCAGCCACCTGCGTGAGGGACCGACTTCCCATGCTTGGCAGGGCAGTGCTTTTGGGAGCGACTTCCCTATCTTCAGGAAAATGAACTACTCCACCTGGTAGGAAGTCCATCCATCCACTACCAGGGGGGTAAAATGAGTCACTTGGACTCCTCGGGGTAGTGACTTTCAAGTGACCTGCAACATCCTATACCAAAACTAGACGCTTGAGGAACGGTTGGGGCACACCTCTTTGCAAATTAAGTGAGCATACCGAACACGGAGAAATGCTGCAACAAAGGTCTCCGGCAACCAGTTGCCAAGTCAAAAAAAAAACACTCCCCACATTGAAATTGCCCCATCCTGCTTCTCATGTTTTCCCGCCAGAACTTTTGCCAGAAAGGTGGTTCTCCCAAAAAGCCACGATCTCGGCGTTCTGTCACTGAACTTCTCTTTCCTTTAAATCCACAAGCTTCCGGCCATTCTGGATCCAACACCCGGATCCAACACACATCGCACCCTGAGGTGATTTTTCTGGAGTTGTTGGATCATACTAAATGCATCACCGACACTACTGAATGAGGCTTCGAGGAGGAACCTGGTCCATGTCCAAGTGAGTCCAAACATGACAAGTACTGAAATCATTACTGCAGTATATACTGCACTTGTTATCTCTGTACGAGGGGGCACCCCCATGCCTCTCCGCCTGTCAACCATCATCCGTTCCGGAGCCGCGCCTTGGAGGCCTCAAACAGGTGCCCCACGGCTTGAGCGGCCGACGTGGGGCCAAACCTGCGGGACCGGTGAAGGGCCAAGAACCCCTCCAACTCCAAACACCTTCCGGCTTCCTGATGGAGGATGTCTGTTCTTCCTTCCATCTGGGTGCCCCCGGCCACGACGAAGGCTCCTTGCCCAGGATGCGCTGCCCCATTTCCACGAGGCGATGCCTCGGACCGGAACCCATCACCGCACCCGCACCGGTGGGCGGTGCCGGGGCTCCCGGACAGGGAAAAGGAGGCCTCGGGCGTGTCCAGGAAGCAGCTGGCGACACGCAAGTAGGTGGAGCCTGAAGCGGTCTGAGACCGAGTCACATGTGGTGGTGGGCACCTAACCTCCTTCCTCCGTTCCCAGTTCCGGTTCGTGCTTCGAGCCCCATCCACTGAAGGAACGAACTCCCCACCAACCACTGGAACTCCGAACAAGAAAATAAGGACGCTACGTTCGGGGCTGGCATCGCTACGAAGAAGGAGCTACGATCGGGGCTCCTGGCCCTACTAGGAGCGATCGGACGCTACGTTCGGGGCAACGGTTTCTTTCGCAACGCTTCGAGCCAGGATCCGCCGACCTTCTTTCAGATCCTCCTCCCTGAAACGCCAGTCGCGTCCTGGATGAACATTCATGTGACATCCCAAGCATAGAAGGGGAAGCCCCCACCTAAGGTCAGGGAGACGAAGCACTGGGCAAGCATCATCTGCGTCACCTCACAAGAAAGCGCCCGCAGCTTAGTGCCTTACTAGTAGTAACAGGTGCCTTACTAGTAGTAACAAGAAGCTATTAGTTTAATGTTGAGTTTAATTCTAATAGCTTTTTGTTACTACCAGTAAGGCACTTGTTACTACTAGCGAGGCACTTGTTACTAGCAGCTTCATCTAAAGTCCGGCTGCAGGATGGCACAAACCCTCCGAAAGCCAAGAATTCAGTCGCTAAAAGCTTCTCGCTGGCGTCATCGTCTGGAGGAAGGGCAGTAGAAAACGGTAGAAAATGAAACACACATGACTGATGAATCGCGTGCTTGTGCTTCCAGTACATCCAGTGTCCCAAACGGGCCGTGCCAAGCTCCTGGCTCGCAGCATGCAGCCCCAGCCTGGCCGACAAAGCTCGCAGCAAAGCGACGGAGGGCGCTCAAAAAATCACCTGAATCAGAGGCCGTTGTGCCACCAGCCGCCAGCTGCAAGGGAGGCCTTGAGTCCCACAGCCCGGAGCTTTTTCCAAGCTTCAAGAGCTCAACAACCAGAGGGGTGACTCCTAGACTTCCTAAGGGAGTTATTTGGGGTTCCAGGACATTCACCTGGTTTTGCTTAAGATGTGTTATTGACCTAAAGCCCCTTAGGACGGTCACATCCCCAGAACCGTCTCCGCGCTTCTTCCGTCCAAGCGCTCTTCTGCCCAAGCGGCTCCAGGCCGGAACGATAGGTCAGAAGGACGCGCGAGCGGAAGTCCTGCACTGATTTGGCACGTGCCAAGGACGGCGACAACGACGGCGCGGGTTTCCGCGCACCGGCCGAAGGAAAAACCGACTGGACTGAAATCGACCGCCGCGCCCTGCACGACTCGAATTTAATATGGCCTTTTGAGATTTGAGCCAGTCGTGAGGAGAGATATGTTTGGAAGATGCCACGAAACTGCTCTCCTCCAAGAATTCCTCCCTGGCCGCCTCCTCATTGCAGTCGTAAGTGACGCCCAAGCAGACCACCTAGCGGCCAGTTCCAAAACGGGTGGTGTCAGTGGGCTGATCTCAGATCACCAGGAGGCAGATGTCGGGGTGGTCTGTCCTTCCCATCTAGTGATGTGGATAGTGATGTGGATGTTTTGGGCACTCCGACCTCCTTCCTCCAAGTTCACCCCGAGCGACATGTGACTCCTGGTGTATCCCTTTTCAGACTCGCAGAGTCATCTGAACCCGATCGCCTTGGAGGAGGGTGTGAAGGGCATCCACTTGCGAATCTCATCGATCATGCGATGAATCCTTGGCCGACGGGTGTCGTTTTTCCGCGGCCGCCCTACCTACCGCATGCACCGCACGGTGGAGGCGACGAGGCGACGAGAGGAAGCAAGTCGCTCGAGAAAGCGCTGGGCAGCTGGCTGCTTCATCTCGGCACTGAACACATCTATTGGTTCCGTCCAGAACCCCGCTGAGCCAAAAAGGCCACGGTAAGGAAGTGGCTGGCCTAAGGTCCGGAAGGGCCGGTCTTGGAACATCGTCCAAGGGAGCGAAGATGGGTGTGACGAAGCCACCTTCAGGTGGGATGCACCTGAGGCAAAGCGCCAAAAAAGCCGAGTAGAAAGGTTTTGTTTCCTTTTGGCGCACGAATGCGGTTCCAACCAACGCACTCTCGGAGTCAAAGTCTTTTTGGACCGGCGCTGGAAGCGCATGTCTCCAAAGACTCTCGGAACTCAATGAGCTAATTTCACGTTTTCGCGAATTGTCATGCACCGTTGAGCTTGGGCTTCTTGTGCCAGAACGGCCTGATGTTCAGCTCCAATGGAGCTGCGGCCACCGGGGGTCGAGCTGCAGCGCGAAGATCTTCCATATGTCGCTCTTGATGTTCCTCGTCCATCTTCCTCGGTCTGGACGGGCGCACACGTCGGATATAAAAAATTGGCTTGGCTCCGGAAACCAAAGGATCAATTACGTAACAAGGACGCAATTAGGTGAAGGCCATGGCAAGCAGGTTGGAGGCCATCGCTACTAGCAACAAGAAAGCGTCATTTTGGCCCTTGGGCCTTTTCTCTTTTCACACATAGAGTCTTAGAGAGAGAAGCCAATGCTGGATATGCGTGGCCCAAACAAAGGATCACCGGGTCGGGCGCCCAAACATGTCCAACACCCGAATACGTGTGGTGTTCGTGTTCGTGTTCGACTGCAACCAGCATACTGCAACATGTCAATGCGTCGTTTTTGGATGGGCCACATGTCAACGTGTCGGGTATTCCTTCAACCTGAATGCAAAACCGGTGTCCATTCAGAATCTGATCCCTGGAGATCCTTTCTCAATGACGTCCAAGAATGTGGGTATGCCGACCACCTGGTAAAGTTTCGGGCTCACATGCTGGGCCAAACAATACCGTTGGAGCCCCACATGACCTAGGAAGTAGTTCCAAAATGATTGAATGTCCAACGAATCCAACGAAGAAACATGTTGCGACAGCTTCCTGCGAATCATATCCTGTGCGAGAAGTTTGGGAAAAGCAGCTTGCAGAAACTCCGTCAAGATTTGATCAGTTTGTGAGATCTTTTCATAGGATGGGTTTGCCGCGGGGAAATGAAAGTTTCCCCTTCTTACGGTGTTTGCCTCAGCCAAGCCGGACTCGTTCACAGCACTCGTGAAGAACAAACAGCTCATGGGGAATCATGACGGAAGCTGCCGTGATCAAAAATATGCAAAGCGCCAAAGCGCTGTTCTATGCACCAGCCCCAGAACAACATTCCTAACCCTTAGGCCCTTAGGCCTTCTTTCAACCAATGGGGTCAGTGCACGTTGCTGCTCAACACACCATATGTGCCCACAGCCAATGGATGTCAACGGATTCCAGTTCTTGGATCAAGCTTCTTCTTGGCTGCTCGCATGCGCTCCCGCTGATCGAGCGACTTCGCCTTCTCGCGTGACATCTGCTCTTCGACGTTCCTCTGCCTTCAAAAGCGGGCGCCGCAGAGTCCGTGAACCGCGAAAGGCCTTTTTCCTCACCGACCAACCGGTGGTCGCGTCAGGTGCGACCTGTTTTCGCAAATGGACTCCCAGGCAGCCGGGACTTTTTAGAGGAAAAATTGTCAAACAAAGCTGTAGGGTCATCTTCTGGGACCCATGTGAGTCTGCTGGGGTGGGGGATGTAGCTTGTCCACCGTGTTGAAGCAGGCCGAAGGGACCCGCAGCCCAGCAATCAGCGTGGGAGAAAACACACACCGCTCCGCTTCGGATCCTTTGGGAATGATCAGAACCGTTTGCACGAGTCGATCAAGGAACCCCCACCCAGTGCTTCAACGAGATGACCCAGTCCCTTTCCCTGCCTGGACCACCTCTTCTGAAGCTCATCTTGAGCTTCACTCAAAAGGCCCTGCCAACACTCCAGCTGCAAAGCAGGCGAAAACAAACACGATTAAGACAGTCACACGTAGATATGCGTGTTATGGTATATAATAGTAGCATTGGCCAAATTTCAAGGAAAAAAAAACACAGAACTGCGACTTCGATTCGCTGTCTTGCCTTCACTTTCTTGAGCTCCACCTGAAGGCCATAGATTTGATCATGAAGCCTCCCGATCTCCTCGTCCTTTTCTGCAAGGTGCTTGTCTTGCTCTTGGACGCGCATCTGGCCAATCCAGAAGCACATTCAGGGTGATGGAGGAGATGTTTGGAGCATGTCTTCAATGGTTTTTTACGCCGACCTTCTGCCGTAACTACGCCTTCTTCGTACCAAAACGCTTCACGGCACCTTGGCAACGACCACCCCGAGGCCTCTGCACGCACTTTCTCTTCCACCAACGACGTTAAGGCGTCACTGGGCCTCGGCCCCAGGTTCTGATGCCACATCCAACCCAAAAACAAAAACAAAAAGAAACCGCCTGCGGCTCATCTTGGCCCCCAAAAAACCCTCCACCGTGGCGCCTTGCAACGGCCTGCTTTGCCTGCTTTGCTTCCTCCTCTGCCGCGAGCAGCATGACGCGACGAATGATCTCATCAGCTGCCACGCCATGAATGCCCTTGGTTTTGGCCTGGGCAGCGCCAGCATCTCTAAGGCTCCAAGGTTTCCAAATGCATGATGACACAGGAGTTGTGGACGACCAGTACGGCGTACGGTGCGTGGGAGAACGACCGGTGAAGGCTCCAACACCTCCTGAGACAACGTTTGTATGTGTGTGTGTGTGTCTCTTTCTAGGTCTCTCCTTCGTTGCTTGGCTTCTTTTAGGTTTCAGGTTATTTTTTCCGTCAAGGGAGCGCCGATAGGGCTATGTGTGTGTGTGTCCAACCCTGGACAAAGGGTCTTCCACCACCACTCTTTC